AACTGAAGAAAAAGTTGGGGTTTTTTATTTTACCAAACATGTAGTTCTTAGGAGCTATTTAATTCTGAGCTATAATAAGGTCTATACTTACACTTCTTTGTCTGTTACCTTCTCCCACCAATACACTCTAACACAAGGTATGAAGAATGAGAGAGATCTACGGTGTCGTGACTTACTAGAACAACTTAACTTGCTGTAAGAGGATACTAGCCATCACCTTAGCTTGATTTCACACTGTTCACTCGACATGTTGAGAGATGATCACACCAACAGTAAAGCATAGGAGTTGGACTCAATGATCCTTATAGGTCCCTTCCAATTTGAGATATTCTATGATTCTATGTCGAATACAAGCAAACCTTCCTTCAATCTTTGACAGTTAAAAGCCTGCAGGGTTAATTTTTCCCCCATTTGAAAACGTACCTTTTGGAAGTTATCAACTGCTATTACCTAAAACCCAGCAAACTCCTTTCAGGCTTTAAGAGATGAAGTACTACTAACATGTACTGTACACATAAAAAAGAAGGAGATTTATGCAGTGCTGTCAATTTTGTAAGTCACTGGAGATAAGTGTAACAGAGGCAAACAAATATGAGTTCTACCCATACTTCCTGAGGAATGTGTACAGCACACCTAGGCAGTAAATTCTGTCCCTCAGCAATTACGGTCTTAAAATTATTTCTAACAAAAGCTGCAGTTACAGGTTTTTTCGGTAGGTGGCGTAAAAAACCCACCTATCAAAAATGTATGCTGAGGGTGCTCTGAGATCCTGCATATTTTCCACCACAATTTTTCTTGTACTTTCACTGAAAAGCCAAATGATTAAATGCTAATCCAAGGAAAAAAAAGACCCACGCAGCAAATATGTACGTAACAAACTTCTCTAACAAACACATCTTTCTGTGCATCTACTCGCCCTTCACTATCGGACATCAACATTTGCCATGGTCCATTATGATCTCTCAGTTTTACATCCAAGGAGCATCGTTTGGCTGAGCTGCTGTCTTTTACTCTTGAAGAACACGGCAGAAGTCTTGGGCACGAACGTTCCCTGCTCAAATCCTGCTCCTCCTCCTAGTCGGGGCACAGCTCCCATTTCCTTAAGAATGGTAAGAAATACGGAACGAAACCCCAGCCTGAAGATTTCTCCCTCCTTGGAAATGCAAAGGTTACACCCCTGGGCATGCCAGTTGTCATTAGCTGGATTTTTTGGACACAGGCCTAGCACAAAACCTACATGAAAGCCCCTCAGGTTTAAAGCAGCCACGCGGTCACCTCTCGGCCCCCCCCCACCCCCGGCAGCCCCCGGCTC